GCATCTAAACAACCCTTCCCAACGCCCGACTTGTGTGCCGTGTTTTCTCCTCTGTGAGACGCGGTCAGTGTTGTGCGAGTCATTCACCTCGGGCGACAAACTTACCCATAAATTTCTCAATTGTCTCGATGGGGACAAAGGAAATCTCCGCCCAGGAGGGTTTTAGCGTGTTTTTCTCCTCTTTTCCTCGCTGGTCCAGTCGAAGGGAATTGCCTGCACACATCTCATCCGGAGATGTTTAGCAGAAATACGAGATACCGCGCTCGTGATGCCTCTTCCTGTAGACATTTTCCTTATGGCTGATTCTGCAATTTTTGGCAATCGAAAATGCTTTTATCTCTGACCGTATTGGCATGACTGTTACGGAACATGCGGCATAACACGAACGGGTCATGGAAGTGAGTGGAGGAATGCGGACAGTGGAGGACATCTAGCGGTCACAAATGAAACGAACATTCCACTTCTTCCGTCTCCTCTATTCTCGCCGTCTTCATTCCAATGCCTGATTCTTAATCTGAGTGCATATTACCAACTATAAACAACATGTTACTTCAATGTCATCAAGGTTAAGGATTTCACAAGCAATTTAAGTGAGTACAATGTAAGCTGACCCACACATTTCCCTCGTTAATATCGGCGCAACCAAATAAATGGAACTTGTTTCTTTAGTAACAGGATTTACTTGAAATTTGGTAAATATATGAAATTTCTTCTCTTTCGGGAGAGTAGGTCTGGTAAAGAATATTTCCAGCGCAATTCTAGCAGTTCGAGAAGGGCATCCAACCATTTTAAGGAAAGGGGGAATTTAGGGAAGGCCCCATGGTTGGTAACTTCTTCGCCGTTGGTTACTTCGCCCATCCATATCTCTGAAGGAAGGCCTTGAACAGGAGATTTTGAAATGGCACTAGGTTTTTAAGTTATACTCAGTAGTTTAAAAGTTTTTCACATACAAAATGTGACAAAAAGTAAACATTTTTGGCAGATCTCCTCATGCAACCTAAATTTTGTTCGTTGTCAAATGTGCATCAGTAATATTTCAATTATTTACTATAGTTTTAGAAAGTAAAAGCATATTCTGAACCCTCTCTCCAACGGCTTTCTAATGAGCTGTTGAAGGGGTTAATCCGACAAAAGGTAATATACCAGGTAATATGTTAAGCCAGTAAATATGGCTTCCACAATTTCTTCCTCTCCAATATCTAAAAAAAATTGCTGGCTCGATTACGTTAACAAATGTAATCATGCCTATTTTACCAGAATACATAAAATGAAACGAATTTTAAACATTCCGTGCCTGTCAAGCAATCACTCCGGATTTTTTTTTGGCATGGAATTGTCCAATGCATTACCGTTGTTAACACTCTTGGTTTTTCTTGCAACAGGTGAAGCAGCGGGGGAAGAAAGAGAGATTAAGGGTGCTGCCGTTATAAATGCTCTTCATTCCACTCTCCAAACGCTACAACACCAGAAGGCACGACAATACAAAATCATGCAGCACATCCAGAATCGGCTTGAACAGTCGAAGGCGGAGGCGATCCATGACGACTCAATCCCACTCCGGCAAGAGCAACAGCAACCAGAGAAGCCCCTACAAAGGCACCCGAATGAAGAGAAAGGATCGAGGAAGATTGGCGAAAGGGGAGACATAAGTGATGAAGTCCTTCAGCTGTCTTCAGATGACTTTCCTCTGGCTGGACAGCCGACATCTCTAGAAATGCTTCAAAAGACAACACAGCAAGTCCTCATGAAAGCGGCCAAGAAGCCTCTAGCAACTAGTCTTGCAGATGATCTGTGTGATCGATCGGTGAGTACAGAGAGCGGGAAGGATCTTTTCAGGCATCGATGTCGTTACTGTGGGAAAGTGTTTGGTAGCGACTCGGCCCTTCAGATTCATATCCGGTCTCATACAGGAGAAAGGCCTTTCAAGTGCAATGTGTGTGGGAATCGGTTCACAACGAAAGGGAACCTTAAAGTCCATTTCCAGAGACATCAAAGCAAGTACCCTCATATCAGAATGAACCCGAATCCCGTCCCAGAACACCTGGACAAATACTTCCCGCCTCTCCTAGCTGCAATGGAAGAAGAAGAAGAAAAAGAAAAGGAAGAAGTAAGGCCATGTTCCTTCTCCGGACTTTCGATCGTGAAAAGAGAGAGTATGGAAGTCCAGGTTCATCCCGAGTCGCCTGCAAAACTCTGGCAAGAAGCAGAACGATATGAATCTTCTGATGTGTCTTCTCGCACGAATAATGCCTTCCGATGCCGAATCTGTGCAAGAGGGTTCCATAGCCGGGAGGATATCTGGATGCATATCTTGGCTCTCCACAATCCCTTCCCACCTCTGGAAACGTACATGGAAGAGATGAGAAGGCCTCGGGATGAAGATCGGCCGAGATCCGCATCGACATCGTCCTCGGAATCTCCGTGCCTTCCTCACGATTTCAGAATGCCAGGCAGAAATTTGCAGTCCCGTTCTGCTCCGCCTTCCTTCCTCACTCCACAACACACGTATTTATCCCGTGAAAGACAGCAGGATAGTGAAGACGAAGAAGAAAAAGGAGATGATGGCAGTGGTGGTGCTGATGGGGGAGATGGGGTCCTGGATTTGAGCCGGAAAAAGTCAAGCTTTATGGATGCTTCATGTAAGGAGGAGGGAGCAGAGGACGACAGGGATCCTGGGAGTTCAGGGGTCATCACCCCAGGATCAGTCTCATCCCTTACCACAACTCCGCTGCAGACATTCTTTTCCCTCCAGATGTCCGAACGAGGTAAGAGTGACATTTTTTGTGACATTTCAGTTCTTAACTGCCGCGGCTATGAGCGTCTCGAAATATGTCACACACCTTGATACCCATGCCGTTATTGGCCTTTCTTTTTTTTCTGTCAAGTCGGGCTGCACAGAAGGGCAGTTGGAGTAGGAGGCACAACTTGCAAATTTTGTCTGAAGACGTTCGCCTGCCATTCAGCCTTAGCTGTTCATTACAGGTCGCACACGAAGGAGCGGCCATTCAAATGTCCAGTCTGCTATAAGGATTTCACCACTAAGGTATGTCTCTACATGATCGAAAACCGTTGACTTCTGATGTCTAGGGCATCCTAACGCATTTCTAAGGTTATCATATTCATGTGCCTCTTCTAGGGTAACATGAAACAACACATGATGGTCCATAAGAATAAAAAAGCTGACGATGTGAAGGAAAAAGAAACTGAAGGGTATATGATGCAACTCGAGAGAGAGGAGAAAGCCGCCTCCTCGCCGCCTGACTCCCAGAATCGCCCGACTGTCAACCCTATCCCTGAAAGACCTCCAGGTCCGTATGCAACTTCGTCACCCTTTTTTCTTTTTCCTCTACATCCGTAATGAATATCTTCCCCTTCAACATCCCTGACATATTATGTCAGAGATGTTGAAGGGGAGAAATGCAGATGTCTGGGATCTCTTCTCAAATGCATTCATGTGAAATGTTCGAAAACTTTCTTTGCAGGATTCCCAAAGCACATGTGCCACGTGTGCCACAAGAACTTCAGTTCAGGTTCGGCTCTTCAGATTCATATGAGGACTCACACGGGAGACAGGCCCTTCAAGTGTCCTGTCTGTGGCAGAGCCTTCACCACCAAAGGCAACCTAAAAGTAGCTTTCTCTCTCTCTCTCGCATTGGTTTCCTCTGCGCGCGGGATGTCAAAATGTCATACTACATGAAACTTCCCGTTATTTTGTCTAGGTACACATGGGAATCCATATGTGGACGAATGGGACGTCGAGACGTGGCCGGAGGATGTCCCTTCAATTGTCCTCGCCGTTTTTCACTGCCATGACCCAGTTGAACAGGAAATTTCTAGAATCACACCGAGGGCGAGAACTTTTCCCGAACTTCCTGGGAGTCACTTCATCTTTCCCCACTCTTCCCAATACGATTTCCCAATGGCCGTGTCTTCCCCTAGTCCAGGTGAGGTCAAGCGAAGGACTTTGCTGCAATTCGAAGTCGACGTTCAAAGTGGTTTCACTGTTGATTAGCAGGTCAATGGAATGGATGCCCTTGTACTCCTCCGTTACAGGAAAGACAATTCGGGGAAAGAGAAAGGCCAACCCTTTCCAATGCTCCTCCTACTCCTCCTTCAACTCCAGGCCCGGGTCCGAATCCCTACAAGCCTTATTCCCTCATAACCTAGCCCTCGAAGGCTAGACTCTTGGCGGCAAGGGCGACGACTCCCAATGATCTCTCCATGATGACGCTTCTTCATCACTCTCTTTTTCCTATTCATGCACCCTCACTTTGTCATGCTCCCAATACTCCAAGATAGTACACGTACTATTTTCATGACCCTTGAAAGATCATTGCCTGAGATGCAACAAGGCTCCTGGACTGGGAACGACTCATACATAACGTGATGCAGAATTGAGTAAAATCATTCCCAAAGTCTCCTCTTACATGTTTTCTCTCATCAGCCTTCCATCATAGTGGAGGTAACAGGATAACTTCTATTCATGGGAAATTTATCCATAAAAAGAAATAGTTCCAAAAAGCTTACATTTTTAGTAAATACTCTTTGTCAGGTACAAATATAGGCCTTGCGCGAGACTGCAACCGCATGGCGAGAAAACAGGGCAATTACTGCACGGAAAGTATGTCTTGATTAGTTAAGTTTTCACAACATGAGCAGACTCGCACGGATTCCGCGCAAATTACTTTCTTAACCCAGAAGAAGCTTGCGTAATCTGGGAAGATTTATGGAAAAATGTGACGAGTGCACTTGACTCCTTTTTCAATAATGCATGAGCATTAGCATTAGCAGCACAGCTGCTGAAAATACCAAACGACGACGACATGAAGGAATCTGATCGAAGATTGTACCGTGACATTTTCATTGTTATCTCAAAACAGAATAATCTCGGAGATGGAATGGCCCTAGGTAACTGGTAGATGTAGGTCACGATGCCTCTCTGGATCGTGGGTATTGATCAGGGAAGAACTCAAGAGTTGCTTTAGTTATTTTTTTTTTAATCTGAGGGATTGGGGGGAGAGATCCTCGAGGGGGGGTTTCTTCATGTCGAATACCAGAATAGGGTCTTTCAGTTTTATCTCTATCTTCATGTCATGAGCCTGCAACCAGAGTGTATCAGAAATTGGTCTATTCCGTTCACCCCATAATTCGCTCAGTTAAGATTTCCGGCTCGTCGGAATCGGTCAATATGTCCCCTCAAGAGACGGTCATATACATTGCGCTGATTGGGGAAGCAATGATCATTATACGACATTGGCCAGATGTTCGCCACATGTGCTGAAACAAAGCAAAAACACCCCAATTCCCTGACGCCTGTTGTGAGAGGACGCAATATTCCTTACTGGTCCATTTTCCGAGTTCGAAGAGCTCACGAGTCAAAACTCATGAGAATTAGAGGTAATACCTCAGCGAAGAGTGAGTCTCACATCTTTCATCCGTAATCGTTCGAGAGCGCTCAACAAGGGACTCAATACCCGTTCTGCCTCCTCCGATTAAGCTTATTTTGCATATCTCGTTAGGCACACATGAACTTGTCCGAGTGCAGCTACTCAAGAATTGCTACGGATTCAAAACCTGAGACGTTTTGACGTATAGCGGACTGCTTATGGCCTATGCTATTCTGCGCCTTCTCCGTCAACTGGCGGGGTCATCAGCAAGTATCCCCAACAAACCTTGCTTTGTCTGTGAGATATCGGCGCTGCTGTCAGTGAGAAGGCCAATGCCCGAATAAAATGGGAAGCTAGATTATTTCGATCGATAGATTTTGCCCAGGAAGGTCACCGATATAAGTGAAAGCAGAAGCACCTCAGACATTGCCTGACGCTTAATTTATTGATTTAATTGCTACTGAAGTAAATATTATGTGACTGCTTTTGTTTGCATATCTACGTTTCAAAAAACGTTTAGAATTTTCTTCGTGATCACAATTGAAACGGATGTGAAATGAATCAGTTGTGCAAAGGCATATAGTGACATTTAAAATGTTCCGAAGGAAAATGTGCAGAGAATCATCCCGGAAAAGAGTTCGGACGTAAGGAGTTTTTCTCATGCCCTCAAGAAATCGCATTTCAAGTACCTTTACTGGATCATCCCGTTGCGCATTTTAAGATTTGCCGGATCCACATCTTTCAACGCGCCGAATGATTAATTCATTGGATTCTCTTGTATTAGAAGATGGATCACCTAACAAAAGCTAGGATGTTTAGAGTGCCAAAGCCTACCACGTTTTGGTTGTTGATGTTTGGATACGTTTCCAACAAATCTTAGCATCTGTTTCATTCAAAGTCTTCGTGTCAAGTCAAGACTATGAACAATTTCGAAAGAAGTTGGATACTGAAAATGAATTGAAAATAGCGGAATGGAGGAATCGTCTTCACGCGGTGACTCCGTTTCATCTAAGTCACATGAAACTTCCCTTCAATTGAAATTCATCATTTGGAGCTGATCTTTTCTTGCTCATGGTTTTGACAAGTTTTTTTTTCATAATTAAAACTGATGAATCAAGAAATATCAATACAGAGAGGTTGCCCGAAGTTTATATTAAGTTTTCCAGAGTGTATACTTCGGAGAACAGGGTAGACGAAGTCTAGTCTACCGGAAGGCTGGAGTCCCTGGTCCATTTTCAATTTCCGATTTCTATTGAATAATTATTCATAGCCTTCTTAGGCGGAAACCAATTTGGGTGAAATTGTGTTGGTCTGTTGGGAACATATCAATCCACGCATAATAAAGGCTTTAGGAAAATACTGTAGCCCCAGCGAGAGCAGCGACGTACAGGATAAAATACTTCTTCTTTTTTTTATACATACACTGTATATCGAAATAGAAATGGGAAATTTCAACAAAGAAAAACCCTACTGGACATGATAAGTCATTATGGAACTGCGTCGGCAAGAAGTTACCTCGATTGCTTTGTGGAGTGAGTTTTGTCAATGTGGAATCCCACCGAAACCAATATATTTAGACGCGAAATTACGACGACACAGAAGAATGTTGACAGTCTGAAGTGGAGTAATGATTATCACGTGTCTCAATGGGAATTGTAAGCTGTAAATGGCATTTTATTATTGAGCGGAAGCAGGAGAGCAGTTGAAGCTGCTGCTGTACCATCCTTACGGGAGGAGAGCATTTTCATCATCATCTCCATTGGGACAGAAGAATGATAAAGGGGAGACAATATAAACAGCACAAACAGCCTCATGGTTAGTGATCCCAATTAGGAAGGGTGTGGATAGAAGAAGATGGAAGCGGGAAACATAAATTTAAAAAAAGCTACAACTGGAACTGCATTGGCTACGTGAGACGTAGACACAAATGGCTCTTCAAGGAAATGGATTGCACAAAAAATGCTTTAACTCACAAAATACCCTGCATAGACACATGGGTTTGCATATTGTGTTGGAAAAGCGAGGGGGAGATTTCGGGAGAATTATCCTGCAAGGTTTAGGAGGATCATTCAAGAGTTAAGAGATACTTTGGTAGTGTTTCGTAAGCCATTAAGAGTTTGTTAGAGAATAAAGATGTTTTAGAACATGGTCATTAGGTCATTAGATAGATGCCGCCATGTAAGAAGAGGACTGCTGAAATGTTGCTTTTTGAGAGTTAGGATGCAGAATTATCCTACTGACAAGTTTAATATCATGGGGATAATTAGGGAAGTAAAAACATTTTTGCAATTAAGTTGGTAAAGTGGTTTTCAAACGATACAGCAGTGAAATTTCGGTCAACATCGCAGTGGGGAGACCATGCAGGTCCCTGATGGGCGCCAGTGCAGCGGCAAACATTTTGTTTCAAATGGGGGAAAGGTAGACCATCTAGCTCAATTAGTAGAACCAACAAGGTCTCTACGAATGAAGCAAGATGGCGCCTCAATAGCTGACAGAACGAGAACAGCGGAATGAGAATATTTATAGCAAAAATGCTACGCCATCTGCTCAAGGACTCGCAACTTCGTTTCATTCCCGCCGTTCTTTTCCGCCCGAAAGAGAGTGATTGCTTCGGTTCTCATTTGCTGAAATTGCTTGAACATTAATGAGCACGAACCAAACTGAGCAATTGAGCTAGGTTAATTTAAGACGAAATTGCGCACCACAAGAACATCAATTTCTCGAATTGATAGGGATTCATTTTTGAAAATCTTTTCTCAGACAGAAATAGTCCACGTAAATAAATATTTGTCTCTGAAGACGCAGATGCGGTTGGGACTGTCAAATGTTTCCTCGCATATTCAGATAATGCTGGAAATGTTACTCTTTTCTCTTCAAAATCATCTGGAAATGTTACTCTTTTCTCTTCAAAATCATCACTCGTGTTTTGTCGCATTCGCAGGCGCCAAATTCTAATAATCGCAGGGCTTAAGTCGTCAGTCGGAAGGTTCGGACAGCGAGCACAGAAAGTGGGGACGATGTAACTGAAGGTTTCAAGAATCGCTTCTCGCTCCGGAATGTAACGTTCGAAGTTCAAGTACTTGAACTTCGGGCACAATCTGAGAGGCCCACGGCTACCCTTATTCCGCGCCAGATTCCTATATTGAGTGGTATGTGAGTTCTGCAGGGGTAGTTGGTGAGAGGAGACGAAGAAGGCCTGGTCTCTCCAGATTTGAATACGCACTAACGACTACGCTCACACGCCCATGTCAAGTCAATATTTAAGTTTTTAAGGGAGTCGTCGCTCCGAATTGACAAGATTTGTTGTACCACATTGGTCCTTGATGAAATGAAGGCATGCTAATCTGTATGTGCCTGGAATGAGCTATTCTGTTACATGGTGAGAGAACGCTGGTAAAGTCCTACCAACAATTGTGCCCTGAGGAGATGTACCTTAAAAGTAGGATTTTTCCTGAATTCAAAACTCCAACTGCTGGTATACCAAGTGTCAGGTTTCTACCATATATAGAACATGGTTAGAATTAGGGCAGTAAGTCAGTCACTCACGATCGTCTCCATTAGAACAATGAAAACACAAAATAATAATTAAACCACTAAAATATATTTAAAATATTTTGGAAGCCCCCGTATTGACTCGCGTACATTTTCTATTATAGTAATAGAAGCGGTGATAAAGTCATTTTTGTACCGTATTCTTAGCTTCGCCAGTGCAAAATGACAGGAGATGTTGTTGATTTATTAGAATGTGGTGTTTCATCAAGAAGCGATGAAGAGGCGGGAAGTTCTTGAAAAAGAAGTCCCACGCCAGATCTCCAAACCTGGAAGAAAGATAGGGCAAAATCTCGTGCGTTCACAAGGTCTGGGATGAAAACTTAAAGGGGCACCAGGAAAGGCTGTTGCGGCTGGTCATGAATGAACCTGACTCTCGAGTCAGGTTCGATTGAGACGTCCTCTACACTTCGCAGTCAGAACACTACACAATGTTCAAATCGCACGGCTGGTACCGGCTGGAACTCATCTGCTCCATCACACATGTATTTTATTGCCATCTTGGGCTTTACCCGGCCAGAGTCTCATCCTTCGAAGGATCAATTCTACGGGGGACTAAAAAATCAAAAACTCATGTGAGCTACTTGGGAAAGGGGGCGGAGGGATTACCCAGGACGAGTCTGACACGCAGGGAGGGAGAGGGGATCCGAATTCGCTCTGATGACGTAGTTGCCAAAATGAGAGGTCAATAGAAATTATCTCCATAAAAAGTCTTCAGATCGTTACTATTCTCCTCAAGTCTTCTCAGCTTTTGCTCTCTCTCAAGCAGGGCCGGTGCGAGTACCCCTGCGTCCCCCGCAGAATCCAGGGGCCCCAGCCCCCAAGAGGAAGAACGAAAGAAAAAGAGAAAAACTTTGAAACGCTGCGAGTTGTTCCGAAAGAGATTCAATCTCTGAATGAGATGGAGAATATTCCTAGGTCTTCCTACTCTGGACAGGCGAGTAGGCCGAGCAGGGCGAAATCCGTCACCAAATGCATGGAAAGTATTTTTAAAATTTTGTTTTAATTCCGCTATCCTCGCATGAAATCCTCGCGCTTGAAGGCTTTCGAGGAGGTGAGAAAGACGTCCACATGGAAGGGCCTACCTCGTTTTCATCCTTTTCCCTCGCTCGTCTCCCTTGACCATGTTGTGAAATGTCTTGCTTATTTATTACCGAGACATTGATGGGGGTGGCCACATTTGAATTCAACAAAACGTGGACGGATGGAAATATGCGCAAATATTCGAAGTATACTTACGAGTATGTATGCGGCTATGACGCAAATACCCAGAGCCATCTTAAGCCAATCGATATTACGAGAGTGTGGCCTACCGCTTTTGACTTACGGAAAAGAGTTGTTTTTGCTGCTATTATGCTTCATTAATTTATTAAGTCTCAACAAGTTTATAATATGGACAAGTGTCCATATTAAGATCAGTTTGCAGTATCTACGGAGAGTTTGAAATATGTACAATCAATATTAATTATGAACGGGTGGCAACCCTAATAATCGATAGTAGCCGTGCAAAGATTGGACACCTTTTGCCAAGGTTAACCTCAACAGCTCAACGACCTTATCAATGAGCTTCGCAGTCTGGCTACGCTTCTACCAGAGCCACTTGATGCTCTTGGAACTCCGCGATTTATTCACAAGATTAGTCAGGCCCGTGTATCCTAACGTGTCCATCGCTCTTGGAGTGTTACTCACAGTTCCAGTGAGAGTTGCATCTGCAGAAAGAAGCTTCTCCAGACTGAAACAATTTAGAACTTATCTAAGATGAAGCATGTCACAAGAACGCCTGACAGGATTGGACTAGCCATACTCTCTATCGAGGGGGAGGTCGGGAGGTCCTTGAATTACAAGAAAATGATCGATGAGCTGGTGACAAAAGTTCCGAGAATACGAACGGTAAGTCTTTGGACAACCTACACAAATTCCTCTCCTTTCCTTGCTTCATGAAAATGTAGTGATTTTCATTTGTTTTCCTAATATACCTGTAGCTTCAATGATCGAAAATGAAGTGAGGGGAAAATCTCCGGAACCCAGAGGAAGCTCAATGTCTTTGCCGTAGGGGGCCCCGCATTTTCCCGTGCCGGGCCTGCTCTCAAGCGTTCAAGGAAGTATAAATTCTTGTACAGCTTTTATTTTATTTCGATTCGATGTTCAGTGCCAAAATGAAGCGGTTTCTCAATCAACTCCCTCTCAATCTCAATCAATTCCCTACCTGCCACTTTAAGAACAACTTCTCATAAAACGACAAGACTGGCCTAAGAGCATCTGATTCACACTCGCATTGATAGCAAAAAAAAAAATCGTGTTCATTGTGAAGATCATGAACCGATCTCCCTAGATTTTTTTTATTGTTATCCACGAGCCGCCATTGGAGTCATGACGTTGGCATTACGTTGCGAAAAGAAGCACAAAAAAGTCCTCCTCTCCTTCACTGGTGTGACTTGCAATCATGTGAAAAGATCTCAGCCTGAGCCTATCATCGCTTCGACTGGATTCCATCGATTGCTTCGATGGATGTGTAACCACCTTGCCAAACTGAAACCTAAACAATCCTGTTGAAAAAGCCACTCGACTTCACAGAAGGGAATTCCTGGCACAGGCATCCAAGACCTTGGGGACTGCATAGATCTCTAACGAGACCAGACGTCGGATGATCATTACTAAAACTTTAAGCAAGGAAATCCTGGAGATATGCTCCCCAGACAGTCAACAACCCCAACCTAATCTTGGGAGACACAAATCGGTCTGAGAGATTTCTCGAATTCGGCCTTCACAATTGGAGTTCATTAACATCCCGCATCAAGAGACAAAAAGGCCGATTGCCTTTCTCAACCAACCTGGAGTTAAATGTCTGACTTGGTTTCGAACCTGAATCCCTACCACGGGAGCCAACCTCGTTACCAACCAAGCCAGCCCCGAAATCCCCAAATCCTGGTTCTACTCCTATGCATTCCCATTGCGTGAAATAAAGGCGATGAATAAGGTAGTCTTTGCAGTTTTTTGAGTTCGACATATTCCAGATGTCTATGGCATTTCCCGAGCATGGGCGTCGTAGGCAAGTGGAATACACTGCAAATATGAAACTAGCCACAATCGAAGATGCCGTCTTAGGAAGATGGCAGCGATTGTCGTATTTGACTGTCTCCAGCGACTCCAGTCCTATTTTCTTGGACCAGTGAATTGCTTTGCGTTAGACTTGAGCTAAGGCTGTCCCTTAAGAAAAGTTCCAGCCCTGGACAGATTCAGGCTTTCGCATGTGAACAATTATTGGTGCTGAAAATCGAGGCAGTAGACTCTTTGTGAGAGAGATCTTGGGTTTTTCTGTGGTTTCTTTGTTCATTTCGTTTAGTTTTAGTTAATCTCCAGTTAACTTAGGCTGAAGGTGGAACTGACAAAATTACTGTTTCACTCAGTTGAAACCAAGTCAAAGCTGCAGGTAAATCAGAGGTCAACAAACTGCTCACTGGATTTCATTCACATACGATGAGAAGAAAATAATATCAATTGGCTGTTAAATGGCAACTGGTGTCAAGTGGTGTTGGTTACAGTTGATCAAGACATCTCAAGCATTAGTTACATGCCCATATTAGGGCCTACATGTAATTTCATTTTAACTTCAGTTTCAGTTTACCTGCTGTTCACATTGACTCAATAAAGTATGTAATCGTCAGTTTAGAATATTCTTAATTGCAGATTAACTTAAATGGGACTTAAACGAGATCAAGACTGTAATTGCATTTAAATTGAATGATATTAAGTCACTGTTATATCTAACTCCTGCAATTCTCAGGTTGCCTGCTAAGGGCTACATTTTATTATTGGGCATCCATGTGTTTCTACCACTGCTGTCAATTTTGCTTGGAATGATGTAACAGGCCTAGCAGCATGAGTTGAGTGTCAGTTTTATGTAGGATCTAAAGTCTAGCCTTTGCTAGTCCATGTTTTATTACAGTCTAAGCAAGAAGCTCACATTAAAAAAATAAAAGGCAGCAATCATCATTGGTAAACCCCCTACTAGTTTTCCAAGTAAAAGTTGGATAAAATAAGGACTGAAATCCCTGCAATGGAATGTTGTGTAAACTTTACATTTAAAATGTGTGAAACTGAAAAACATTTATCATAGCTGTGCATGAATTTTCTGCATTTTAGGCAGGTTCAGTAGGACCTTGCTTAAAATACATAAACATTTAAATGTAAACTGTAATTATAAATACCTGAGTTACCTGAACATTTTAACACTGACCTTGTTAGTTAGGAGCAAAAGATTCCAAATCTGTGAATACATTTTTTATTGCCATTATTAATATGGATGTCAGTTTAAATATTACATTTAAAACAGTCAATTATTATGACATTGAGGAACGGCCTGTATAAAAACATGAACTGGGAAGCAGTTTTGACACTGCTGGCTTAGAGTGAGGAGGTCTCACCCTCTAACTCACATACTATTTACAATGCTTTCAAAATCAGATTGCATCCCAGGCATGGGTTTGATTGCAATTGTTTTTTCAGCTGCTGAGTTTATTCAGCATGTTCTCAGCCCATCTGTCTGTCATTTCCTGCTCCCCTAAGGCTTTTGCATAAATTTCACAAATACTAATGGGCTGGTGAGCTACTGCTGAATTTGTAAGTTCCCCTTCAAGTGTGATCTCAGTTTCAGTTTGACCTGCAATGCAGGCCTGTAGGATGATTTTCTTATCATTGCTATTCTTTAATGGCAACTTTTCTGTTTATCTCTTTCATTGCAGAAGTAGCAGAATTCCAGTAGTGCACTTGAGTTTCAGCATACCGGCCTTTGACTACAAAATAAGTGTTTCCCATTTAGGGAAGCCCAGGCCAACCTAGTGCAAGCTGTGTGTAAAATCACTTTTTCAATGAAAATGAGAAGTGCCAAATCTGTGAACCTTCACCTCTGCAAAACCACAGTGCGCCCTCCTTCGAACTATGCACTGCTCTCAAGGATTGTTGGCTTTGTGCTGAACAAGCATTCAATATTAAGTCAGTGAAGTGTTTGTGAGTTTTTTATTTATCATAAAAATATGAAGCTTTTGGAGAACTGCAGATTTGAAGCTGTCAACAGCGCCTTGTCAGCACAATTGGGTGATTACAAGCTCTGTGGGCGGTGAGTTTGCAGTGAAAATTTCATTTCTTTTCTTCAATATTGACCTTGATGTTAGATGATTAACCTCTTTGACTTCTTCAATGTGTGACAAGTAAAACAGGATCATGAAGAATTCAGGAAAAGGTTACCTCTTTGGAGACTTTGACTTGGTATGGATCTTATATGCATGAGGCATAATATGCTGCAGTGGCCAAATTTATAGATACTTCTGCAGTTTTTCAGGTCCTCTTTCACGTGCATTTCGCTAGCCTGTAAAAGCTCTGTAGCTCTAAACTTTCCAAAGTTGTTCATTAGTAGGACTTTGCCTACCTTTCTTTGTAGTTTTATGTTTTCAGAACTGTGATATTCCATAATTTTATTTATCCAGATAAGCAATAAGTTTTTAAGTCAGCTCTGGGAGACTTAATTGCCACAGCTTATAACCATATTGAGAACTCTATGACAGACATTCCAAGAATACTAGTGCAAAAATATTGGTAAGTTTAATATATTTCAATTTTTATAGTAAAAGTTATTTCTCCATCAATGATTAATGGGGATCTATGATATTGAATGCATTCTGTCACTCTCATATGATTGGAATAATGGAATAGTTCAAAGGATTCAATATCCACTCCATGACCAAAACCTTTGTATTAGTTTCTGGCAATAAATTGTCTTAATTGTCATTTGTCTTAATCACTGAACCATAATGTATGACCTTGAGTCAAAAATCTTCCTGATGGTCATGTATTAGGATGACATGTTGACATTTGTAGTTGGATATTATTGATTGAGTTTATTGAGTGGCATATACCTTGACACAAGATGCTTTGACAAAACAGCAAATCGTATCTGCAAAGGAATTGTCAATGATCTTGACGGCAAACCACATATCTTTCAATGGTGCTTTTTTCCATTCTCATATGCTGCTTCTAGTATGAATGGTGTCAGGATAATGCATTCCCTCAGTTTCTGAATGGATGTGACCCCTAATCCCATAGACTACTCACTGTCCAAATGTCATTATTCATGCCTCAATTTATAATTACTGGAATAGCATATCAGGCAGTCAATAGGTAAGAAAGTGCAACTGATGCCACTTATGAAAAATGAACTGTTGAACCTGGAACATTTGGCTATTGTTTGTCTTGCAAACACCATGTACACTATGTAAACACCAAGGTTACATGACAGCCCTAATGCCAAAGCAACCTGTCCTGGTTTCTAGAAGTGTTGTCTCCAAATTAGACTCCATTTTATTTACTTCAATGAATACATATTAAAACTGTAATTTGTGCCACCAAGTATGATAGTCTGGGTCAGCTGAAGAGGAGAATCCATTGTCCACATAAAACAAAGACAGTCTGATCTTGCCATGGGACTTTTTTAGATCAAGGTAGAGATGAGTTTAAAAAGGTTTTTTGCACTTGTTCAAGTCAATTACTAGATGTGGTTATGGTGCCAAAATTTGATATGGAAAGTAACTTCTAAGTTTGAAGAATTCATAACTCTTGATGTTTTACATGCCAATTCATACTCATGTAAAAGAAAAAAAAATACTGTACAGGGCGAGTCCTAAGTCTGGAAATATGGGGAATGTGATGCTATTTATTTTATTTTTATTTATTATATTTTATAAAATCACCTTTCCCAATGTCCAGACTTAAGACTCATACAGTACATCAGTTACTGTTGAATCACCATGTACTTAATTTTGATTTTTAAAATTTATCAGATATATATTTTTGAAGAGTATCAAGCAGTTTAGTCATGTGTGCTTATCAAAATTGTAAGTGAGAAATGAACAAAGCGAGGGTCAAGCCAAGGTCGCGTATCTATTAGCAATCCTGAGAAAAGCCAGATTATTTTGCTAGTAGATGCCCTTACTAGGTGGACTTTTGAATGCCTGTCTGTTTTAATAAAAGGAGTGTGGGAGTATAATTTCCCCTTTGAGATCCTTGCAAGTAACTTTCAACAGGTGTGCATGTATGTGGCAATATTGCCTATTATTATTTTCTCATGCTTTTTTTCGTATTTGCAAAGTAAATATTGCAGAGAACATAACCCTACCAAACTTGAGCTAATTGAGGAAAATAAGAAAGGTAAATAATTATCATTGTTGATCTGCAAAGGCACAAAGGCTTTGTAATATCTACCTCTGTGTTTCACCTGGTGTTACACCTGTAAGTTATAAGGCACACAGTTAAAACTTAGAGAATGTGCCACCAATATGAAGTATAGGGCTCATGCAATGTTCGATTCCAGATATTTCAGCCATTATGTCATCAGACTTTCATATCAGATGGCTTATGTGAAGGTAGAGAGGAGTTAAACAGAATATTCAGTAATAATCAATAGCAAAAGAATTTCAAAGATGTCTGTCCCAACTGTGGTGAGAATATGCTTCCACTAACCTCGCTTGAAGAATGTTGCTCATCAGTATGCTCCAGGTGCAGCACAACCTACCAGTATATCTTGATGTACATGGGTTAAGGAGTCAATGAAGGCCTAACACCAGACTTGATGTCATATCTGATGAAAAATATCTGACTTGTTTGGGCTGAGCACATAAGTGGCACTATTTTTACATGTCCTGGAAGAAAATAGGCATCTATTCAGGGGTCTGTTTCATATTTCTGCAGTATGCTCCCTCTCTGGAAGTGGGAGAAAAGTGAAGTCGGTAGAGTACCACCTGCGATAAAACTGTTGTCTTTTTGGCAATCAAGCCTAACATGTAGGATGGAATGGTACTTATTTCTTGAGGACCAATTGGACAGGAATCACTGCTCAATGTGGTGGCTTGAAGTAAACAAAGAGATTAATCAATATTCCCTGCCTGATGATTTTCCTTACATGCATGGATTTGAGCTGCCTAACCATGGTTACATTGGAAAAGCTATGCTCATGATGTGCATAGCCCAGCTTTAGACTGAGACTGTTCTTGTAGCTAGGATCTGATTATTACTATTGTTGAAATAGTCTGCAATATTCATGCTCCATGTTATAGAATTGAGAGCTATTCCTGCAAGATGGCAGGCCAAGATAAGCAACTCTTCAAAAGGATGAATATTGATGGAAGTCCAAGTGATTTGCAAGCCCTCTCTCCACCTCAGGCATCACGGTTGAGTGCATCTCCTTCCCTGTCAAGGTAATGTGATTCAATTATAAAATTCAACATCACTTTCTCTGCAAACTTTTTATTTTAGGGTTAGAGTCCAACTTACAGGGTTGTTTCCATACTTCTGCTTTCTGTCTGCACTGACCAGGGAAGGCTCTTGAGATGTTGTGGATTGACTTGAGGAGTTCATAGAAGTGTGATAAAGCATGTATCCTCGTCAATCCTAAGGAAACCCCAAGAATGAGTTGAGCTGTATTGATGAAATGCACGAACCATAGTACAGGATGTTCACCAGAATGTGCATGATCTAACATGTTTGTAGTCCTTGTAAATACCCACTAGTCAACTTTAAACTCTTTGCTTCTGGAAGGCTGCTGTTTCGTTGCTCATAGGTTTCGCTTGTAGCTGCTAGCTAATGGCAGCAGATGATATGCCGCTCCAGCAATGGCTTCTGCCATGCTGGAGACGTCTTTTGAGAAGGTCCAGTGCTTAACTTGAAAATTTTAACTCCCCAATTATTGCCATCCGTGAGTTTCAGTGCGTCTTTAGAATGACAACTCTTGATCCGACCCACATTTAGGTTTTAAAAATGCATACGCACAGGAACCTCGCTGTCAGGCGATCAATTGCGTCCGTATTCCTGTGGAGCATCAGCAGAATGTCAGTGATGCCTTCAGTGAACGATTGCTAGAGTGGCTTAATGTTTTGGGCCAGCAATTGAAGATTGTATGACACCAAAGTCTCGGCGAACAGAATCCAACGAATTTTATGGCTTTTAACATTAACACAAAAAAGCCAAATGGCTTTTTTTTTTGTTAATGAAGAAATATAACCAACTATTTTTTAATCCTGTAATACCGGAGAACTTTGCATTGTGCTATAAAAGCAGTTCCCACCTACGAGTTGCTCATGGCACTTGAGTGATCACGAATACCAGGCTTGATGGTGAACCCCCCCCTCCCCTCTTTCGTTCGCGCTTTCGTATCCTTTCCTATCCTGATTCCGCAAGCTCTCATATGCCATTCGGACCTTCCTCGTGCACTCCACGCACCCTGCAATCGCTTCCTTTCGTCTCCCTGTGCTGCTACGTGTCCCTACGTAGGTAACTTGGGACCTCACTTTAAGCGCTTCGGAGCGGGGAAGGTGGTAGTCAGAAATTCCCATTTTTCTCTCTTTCTAGCCGTAGGACGCTTACATGTCGTATCCATGATCCCGTTTGTCAACCTTGCCAAAGTGCTTCTCGGTGACGATGTAAATAGGTTAAAACAAAGAATCGGGAAATGTCCGGAATGAGTGCGTTTGTCAGCTTCATTTTCGTCCGACGAAGGGTATTTCTTGCGCCTACAGACCTTCACACTATGCGCATTGCAGTCTCCATCCGTCATCGTATGCATAATCGCCCACAATGGAGACTGCCCGCGCGTATCCCCCGACGTGTGGGGTCCTGTTTTCTACCCGTGGGAGGAAATGAGATTCCCTGGGCGGTAATGGGACCCCTTCCCTTGTTCGACCAGGAGTAAGGGCATACCAATTTCTCGAGTACCCAGGGGCTGGCCTTCGAGTGAAAAATTCTCTTTTAATCAAAACAAAAATAAAAGGATGGTTACGATGCGGTAAACTTGACTCACGGGAGCAGGATCGGGTTAAGAAGTTGTGTGGTCCGGGGCAAGTGGATTCTTGAGGCTACCCCCCCCTTCCCTCGGTACTTACGCTAATATTTAACGCTTTTAATTTCCTTCGGGGGCCCGGGGCAACAGCCCCCTTTGCCCCCCCTTAATCCGGCCCTGCACAGGAGCATACATGCAACTTAACTCTGTTTTCTGGATAAAGTAGGAAAGTGGAGGAATTCTGAATTTCACTCCTGTCGTGACGTGAGGTGTTATACGCGCGGATGCGAGCTCCACTGGGCGATGTTTCAAGGATCGAGTGAGGGGACCCCGAGTACACAACCGTTACGCCTGATATAGCCTTCCACTCGACTTGCTAGTTGCTTACTTAAATTTTTAAAATATTGATCAAGCTTATCCTGTCGATATTAGCGAATGTCGACCATAAAGAAATAAACGATTCCATATCTCTCCCATCCCTAATTACTACCACTACAATTCAGCTCAACACTCCTCATTCAGTCACACATGCCACCCTTTGGCACGTATGTGACTGAGTGCCCCTGCCCCTGTCCGTTAATCCTGTGTTTTGAACTAACAGGTCAATCCAGTGAAGTTGGCTAAACTGCCTCCAACTGCCATTATTGCCCTGGTATTGCTTCACAGCTGATTGCTTAAGATTACAGCAAGGGTTTTTCTGGTATAAGTAATGACGAAAAGTTTATCGCCTTGGAGGGAGTCATCCTTTGATTGAACACAATTGAGTATACATTATAATACTCTGTTAACCGAATTACCTAACTCTGAAGACAAGAGTGGTCTTATGAACTGGCACAGTCTGTAGGCTTGCATAAAAAATAACATGTTAAGTAATTAATTAAGAAAAATGATTTATTTTTTCCCCAATGCTACTTCTTTAGTGCTATATCTTGAATTGAACTATGCAGTCTCTTGGACCTCAATGATGCCTTTAAATATGATTATTAATTTATTTTCTCTTACTGCTAATTAAAAATTAACTCTGATCATTATGTCTGTTGACATTTTCTTACATGGAGGACATGGGCGTGATCTAGTTCATCTTGTTCATAGCTCTATTTCTTCTCAATATTGCTGTTCCTAGTGATGGCTTTAGTTTATTATCAAAGAATATTGTGAGTAAGATTTGAGATGTGATAAAACATTAGTAAGTCATACAGTACTGGCATATTCTTTCCCTGAAGCAGTCCATGGTTTCAATGCATTTTTTGTTGTGTTTTATTGACAAGATTGCAGGAAGCTGAATTATCCAATTATATTTGAATTCAGGTCTGTAAGCAGTGACAGTGATGGGAGTGGAATGCTATGTGATGCCATCAGTCGTAAGACCCTATTCTACCTCATATCCACTCTCAACAGTGCATTTGGCCCCGATTATGATTTCTCTGCCACCAAATCTGAGGAATTTAGTCGGGAGCCTAGCCTGCAGGTTTGACACAAATATATATTTGTCATTGTGAATCTCCTTTGCTCAATATTTTGTTGAAAAGTACTGTGCTTGCCTTTCTCAGTGGGTAGTGAACAACGTTGACAGTAATCTAAGTGCCACTGCATCAGAGGTCTATGGTCCCTTGAGGAATATCCTATGGTCCACGATTGATGAGGAGATCAACTTGTCTGAATGTGACATCTACAGGTTTGTTTTCACTTTCATCCCCATCATAAGTTAGTGCAGCTATGCATTATGCATATAGATGTATTTTTTACATTGCAGTTACAATCCAGATCTAGTGTCTGATCCATTTGGAGAGGATGGATGCTTGTGGTCCTTTAACTACTTCTTCTATAACAAGAAGTTGAAACGAATAGTGTTTTTCACCTGCAGGGCCCAGAGGTAAGTGTTTCAGGCTTCCCCAGCAAAAGTTCTGAATGTAATTTTTTTAGATGGCTATTGACTCTCAGCTTTTTATTATCAAATCATGCATCTTATACATTCAGAGTAAATACACATCAGTAAAAAATAAGAATGATGTAATGGAAAGCATATTTACCCCCCTCCCTCCTTCTGCAGTGGATCATACTATAAGTAACAAGTGAATGCCAGGACTCCCAATTTGTGAAGAGTGCTAGTGTGATTTCCTGTTCCATTTGGTCACCTATGGCTTCCTCTCTTTTAGTGCCAATGCACCTGGATACTATGATGGCGTCAGCTCGGCCTTGCAGGATGAATTGGTCCTCTTCGATGGAGATTAAAGGTGAGGAAGAAGGTCTTGTGTGTGAAAGTTTTCTCTATCAGGCACAGTCAGCTCTTGATACTGTATACTGCCATCCTCACTCATTGCCAACTCTTTCCTGAGAGCAAATCTTTTTCCACTATTTCATAATTTCTGCATTGATGTCTGTGCAAGTTGATTCATCACTCACAGCATCTTGGCTAATCTAAGTGGTTCATGAGAGAATCTCTTCTAAACATAAATATATATATATCAGGTTGTAAAGGTGAAATTTAGACATTTTCCAGAAAACAATTTATTGACAATTAGCTCAACAACGACTAGAGTGCAGTCTTGCATCAATGTATCTGTTGTAGGTTCACGATAAGCACTCACGACCACAATGCCCACTGGTCACTCTACTTATACACCTACATAGAAAGTTCTAACATTTTCCAGATTTTTCTAGAAAAAATCGAAATGTCTAAGCACTCACGCCCACAATGCCCACTGGTCACTCTACTTATACACCTACATAGAAAGTTCTAACATTTTCCAGATTTTTCTAGAAAAAATCGAAATGTCTAAATTTCACCTTTACAACCTGATATATATGGTGATAATAATAAAAATGCTCTACCATTTTCTATGGGAAAAAGTAAGAATATATTGAGATGGTCAAGCAAAGATCATTACCTCACTTAGAGGTGGGGGGGAAGGAACATTCGTGGAAGTATTGGGTTATCATATATTCAGATCTTTAAATTTTCTTATTCATTAATTCACATAACTAGGAAAGTCACTTTTCCCATTTTATACACTGTTTAAACTGTATAGGACCCAAGAAATTACAATCTGATTCTTGGAGGATTCTAGGTTTGACAATACAATATAAATAAAATGTGAGGAATTGTTACAATGCTAGATTTAAAGAAATTAAGCAAAGAGGTCAGAGAATGGTCATGAAGTATTATAAGCAGTAATGCAAAGAGATATTGCACCACATATTAGAAAAGGAAGAAGGTAGGCTTAAATGTGCTTCCAAAAAAATATCACATTTGGTGGGTCACCTGAGCTCGACTTGATCCTGACCTGTCATTCCATCTCCTTTGCCCAACTGACGAGGTCCTGTTTGTGGCACTTTGTTTAATCCCCCTTCCTCCTCTGTTGGCTCCCTACTATGACCTCATCCATCTACTCCTTTGTTAAGTGGCAAGTGTGCAGGAAATGAACTATACTCATGGAATGGATAGTGCAGAGGAAAAGTGTGTTGCACCACCTGCATAATTCCACCAAAATCTGCTGTGACCAACAGTGGTGCTATATCAAGGGTTTACTGTATATTCACTGAACCATGAAAATCCCAAGGAATTCAGCTTCAAGAATCCACATGTAAGCCTTCAATGGAAGTTCTTGAAGTTTTTGTAGACATTGCAAAGTCCTGCTCCCTCCTTCCCCTCCCCCTCATTTTTTAATATAGAGCCAATGAATATACACTGCAGTTAATAGGTGGAGCAAAATTACACTGATCGATCAAGTATCAGCCATACCAAGGATGCAAAAGAATTTTCTGCCACAATTAAAAATTCATTCCATACAATGCTGATCTTATGTTTAAATTAATTCCATCAGTATTGTTTAGATTCACTTTTGCTAGTAGGAGTCCTATAGGCAAGGATGTATTCAAAGAAGTTTTAATGGATTTCTCTGGAATAACAGTGCTAATTTTGACCACTTTGTGATATGCATTGCATTATTGTGACTCAGGGGTTAGGGTTTCTAGTTAGCATACAGGAGATCCATATTTTAATTGAACTGAGTGACTGGTTTTCTCCTGGGCTGGAAGTTCACCAGGCTGCTATCCAGTACAACTTTTTTTGTTGACATGAATGATTGGCCAGTCTGTGCTCCATGACTTGAAAGGCCGGGGTTTGGAGCACTTCAGAACCACTTGCCAACTGGTCTCACTGTGCAGTGATGGAATGACTGTGTCAAAGGTGTATTTTGGCCTCTAGAGTCATGGGGGACAGGGGAGCATAATGGGGGCCCCAAACCCCACGCAAGCGATACCAGCCGAGATAATTATTACCTCCAAGGGTCACCAAGTTCTGTCCCAGGGGTGCCAGGGAGGGTGGCTGCCCCCCCCCCCTGTAAAATACATGACTGGACTACTTATATCAGAGTTGCCATGAAAACCCCTTGTTATTCAGTGCAAGACACCTGGTCATCACACCCCCATTCCCTCATATTTCTTTTGTTTCTGATTCATTGATAAATTGAATATTTTCATCATGACAGTTCTAATTTAAATTCATGTATTTTTGTCAGAGAAATAGAATTGTGAATTAATTCATATTTTTTGTCAATTTAAGCACTGCCCATCACTGTTCTAATTCTTTTCTTTTAAGCCATGAAACTCCCATACCATTATACTGATATGTGGTTAACCAATCAGGATATAGAAATGTGATCAAAGATACAATGTTATCCGCAGTGGGAGTATGTCCAGTATGATCTCTGCATTTTCCTGCTGTTTAGTGGTAACCTCCTGATCCTTCAATTTTCCAATAGGAAACTGACTACACTAGAATCTGTTTCTTGCCAACAATTTTTTAGAGTGGTTTGAATTCTCTTTCTTTCTAGGAGTGAGAGGGAGTTGCAGACATGGATCAGAAATGCTGCAGCGTATTGAAAATGAAAGTACAAGCTAGCTTTCTCATCCTACGCCCTTTTTTTATGAATGTTTTCTCCTAAGTTTTTGAATCTCCCTGGGGGAATCCCACCAAGTAGATACTTAGAAGTTCCCATCTCTCTTTTATTCTTCCTCATACTTTTTTTTTGCATCATTAAGACTAAGGAGAATTGTAATTTCCTAGATTTGAGGAATACTCTGTCTTGGACTACTAGTCCTGATGTGTGACATTTTTTCTGTTGCACCATTAATGCTTAATTTCTTGAGCCTTATTTACCTGGTGATTTGCAAATTTGGGATTGTCCCATCCTGGTTCCAAGAAAGCTTATTCCTTAATATTGTGTTCTAATGTCATAGCTTCTATGTTCTGAAAAAAGGGTCCAATTCTAATGTGAAATAGTTAGATTTTTACCCTTTCAGAGAAACTTACATCTTCTGGAATCATGTAAGAAGCCCCCCCCCCAAACTGAAACTGAAGCGCTTGGATCTTGAATTCAAGACATGGTGAGGATTGTATCAATGCACCATCAGAACATGTTTTGTACTCCAGAGACTGGTCTCATGAGATTTTACTTTTTCTTTTGTTGTTTGATACTGTCACATGACAGGAGGGCATTTTTGAGGAATTATTCAATCCCAAGGTATCTGACACATGCATATTTTAAAAGTCTTCTTAGTTATCTTTAACTGCATCTTCTTTTCATTATCCTTTGACTTCTTTTGGAAGTGATGGTATGGATGTTACAATTTTGTTTCCCTGTGGTACCTGTACATGAAGTACATTTCTTCCCGATGTCTGCTAGCCAGACAGCTTCTCATAGTCTAGATCTCATCTAACCATCATCAGTATCTCATTTTCATCTTGGGGCATAAGTTCTGCCTCCCTCCAGCATCTTCATCTACTTTGTATGCTTGATGAGAAGAATAAGGAGAGAGAAACATGGAAGTGTAAACTTCCTACTTAATTGATATTCAGACATTATCTCTTCTTGGAATTTCATTCTCTCCTCCCCTCTCCTCCCTTTCTCCCCACTTCCATTGCAAAGGTGTTGCTAGTACAAACTCATTCATTCTGTGAAATCATTTCCCTCCTCTTTCCCAACATATATCTCCCTGTCTCTGGTTGTGAACCTCGTACTGCAAATGTCCTGTGGATATATGCATTTTTGCCCTGGATTGTTTGATGTTATGCATAGCTTGCACTACCAGGCAATCATCTTTGTGTGAAGAATCTTCATTTGAAGTATTACACTAAGAGGTATTGATAGGAGTATGTGTCGTGTGTCCATCACATCTCAGTTCAGAGAAAGAAGCGAAGAACAGAGAGATTGGAAGATGAAAAAATTGTCACCTGAAAAGACCTGATATTTGTTTTCCCCTCCTGTCTCATGGGAATGTTGTGCAACAGAAGGGAATTTCTGCAGATGTTTATCCTAACACTGATAGAGAATAAATATGTCATTGAATATTAGACTTGGATTATTTCAATTCCTTGATTTGTTGTGGATTTCTCATGGGTAAGAGGAAAGGATCATTGGGTCATGCTTGACTTCTTGGCATTGAGCCGAAGGCAACAGACCTGTTTATATTCATGTGGAAGTCAGTTACGAGGTAACTGAAACTTGTAGAACTCTGACATAATAGCCTTTAAATTTGAATTGCAAAGATTCAATAATGAGTGCGAGTGGGAGGAGCGCCTGCCGCGTCGGTATTGGCTAAAGAGCGAGATGGTTAAACAAAGCAGCATGGCTCCTGGAGGGATGCGGGAAATAAGCGTTCCGCCTATCATGATACCATTAATAGTCTCTCTTTTTTTTTGCCGGGACACTTAAGATTCATATAGGACATGTCCATGCGTATTTTGAGGCGATGTCTTCAGGTTACGAGTCATGGCATCCAACATCCTGTATATTCAGTAGCTTGGGACACATTTTTATTGGTGTCCATTTCCGCTTTCCTTGTTCAAGACCCTGCCTGGAGAATATGATGTGAGCCATGAAGATTAATTCATATGGGAACAGGTGCAGGAGTCAACTGCACTTCATGACTTCAAATTTAAAACAGGAAGGACGTTTTTCCTGCTGGCCTCACGCTACATTCCATTACGAAATGCCACCTTTTGTTGGCAAACTATCTGCCGCTTTCAACATGCAATTTGTTATGTACTCACCATCACTGAACGATTTGCTCCGCTTTGCGACTTCGTGCCCCCCAGTTAAACTAGCATGAACTACGGCTTCCTTTGCTTCAGTCACTTCCTTAACCTTTTGACTCCAGGAAAGATTTGTATCCCATTAGGAAGAGCCGATATGTTGGCACCTTGAGATTCTAAGGGGCGATTCTGAGCATCGATTGCTCGATTGAACATCGATCGCTGAACCAAGTTCCGAACGCAGACTCCCAACTTTTTGCTTCCTTTGGTCACCAACGAATTGATCAAAAGTTGTGTGATTCCTCTCGAGATGACGCTTCATGTTGTAGCCTTCATCACTAATAGTTTTTGATTGCAAATGAAAGACGACGGCTTCCCATCATGTTCAATGACAAAGTCCACCTGTCCTGAAATTTGCGCTTTTCTTCCCCAATACGACGTTTCATGCACATTGATGACACGAGCACGCGAAGAATTAAAATTTAAACCGGAACTAACAAAGACAGACGCAAGTATCGTGCCTCGGTATGCGACGACAGCTAGAAAATTAGTTTAGATTACGTGGGATTAACTATTTTTGGATTGCATGTCTGCACTTCGAGAGACCATGCTCGCCTGCAAGTGGATTTCGAATTCAGCCGCTCGCACAGGCCCTGATTTGTTTCATTTGAAGAAGTAACTGCAGCGTCTTCCACGCTGCGTATACAATTCTGTCTGAGACTGAGGACGTTGCTATTTTACTGCGCAACAGGTAAAACTATATTTTCATGAAATAACAAAAATTACATGTACGAGGTACATATTTATTTTAAATAATTTTTTCTTTGTCTATTTTCTATCTCCAATGGAATCCCCCCCCCCCCCCTCCGCCCACTAAAAAAAGCGCCACAGGGTATAATGTTATTTGGATGAAGTTTCAGGTATTCCCATGCAAATGTTGTGTAACTTACAGGTGTACCCGCGCTTAACGACAACTCTGGTGTTGCTGCGCAAAACTGTTACGCAACCATTTTTTTCTCCCTTTTACTGCTAATGCTGTAGCAAATTGACACTCATGCACAGGTTACGCAACAAAAACAGCATTCAACTCATCCCTACTCTATTGTCTCTATACCTCACTCAATCTCAATTCATCGAAAAAAATATGCTCCCCGTTTCCTTCCAAAATTTTCTTCACCTGCAGTCGGAACTGGTAGATTGTTTCGCCGACCGAATTCTGACAGAATATGCGCCATTTCTCTAGGCATAACAAAAGAATAAATTAAAACTTTTTTTTTTAAACGGATAACATAGAGATCTAATCTGGAAACAAATGTTGTTATCCATCTATCCTGTTGCGTCATAAGACAAAGAAAGGCGAGAATTTTACAATTTTTTGGTATGCGCAGATGTCCGCACCGGAAAATTTAGGATTTGCATGGGAATGCCTGAAAATTAATGCATGTGCATGAAATTTTCAAAGGATGAAAAACGCACATTTGACCAAATCCTGTTATGTTTTCATTATGATCTGTCCACAGGAATAATTTCTTAAGCTAAAATCAAATGTGGAGTTGTTTTTCACATTGGTAGTCGCTTGTCTGTTCACTCAGTATTTCTGATGATTTCGGCAAAATTTGCCGTAACTCAAGAATGGGTAGGCTGAGGCCAGGGTCGCATTAATGGGGATGGGGCTGTTGCCCTGGGCCCCACTTTTCCAGGGGATCTTCCGAAGAAAATTTAAAGCGTTTGGTATTTGCGTAATGTAGCTGATACAAATCAAAAGTTGCACCACCCGCGCTCGACTGTGTGGCAACTCTAAGCTACTTGCACCACCAGGGGCCTGTTCCTCGCCTTTCCTAAATTTAAATCTAAATCTAAATTTAAAAGCAGTATAAAAGCGAAAAGTATATTCTTCGCCCTGACCCTTTAGTCTAAGATTTAGCCAAAGATTCAGATTTAGATTTAAGTTTAGCAGAGGCGAAGAACGTAAAGTGTCTTGAGATGGCCCCAAGAATCCACTTGTCCCGGGCCTCGCAACTTCCTAATCCGACCCTGGTCGAGGCGTATGAAGTTTCAACAGCTCTTGAAGAACATAATAGGCAATGTTATCTTGAATTTAAAAATAAATCCCCAATCCATTCAGAGGTACGGATTTTTAAATCAAAATTTCGACTGGCTTGCTTTTATTTGGGTCAACCTGAATACATTGCGATGTACCTTGCGACGTCGCACGTGACTTAGCACATGCAGGGCTGACTCGGAAAGGAAGCCGACGTGTCCTGTGGGCGGTGACGCGGGAATATTTCTAAGGACACGGACGACTCACAATCTGTGCGCGGGGAACGCAAATCCTAAGACGAGCAGAATAGAGATGCCTTGGCGCCTTGACAATCAGGTGCAAATCTATTAAATCATTTTCTCCTTATTAGTTTTGTACAGAGGACGAATGATGCTTTACGAAACAGCCGATCGGCACACTGTAGCTACCGCATCCCCTTCATACTTGCAGTTTTGATAAGAACGAAATGAATTGGGTAATTGATCCATACATTATTGAAGGGGTAAAAAAAAATGGATATCTGGAAATTATTGGGGGAAAATCTGAAGCAGACAATAACTAAATACTAAAAGTATTTTAAATTACTTTAAAACTTAGCTTTAGTAAACTTAAATGTGGGTACCGTTTGTAGCTCCGCCGCATCAAGGCGAAATTCAAACTGTCCATGTTTTCTCAAGCATTTCTGACGTGATTGTTGAAACTGCATCTCTTGTTCTCACTTTTGTTCTCATCTGAACTTGTCACTTTCGTCTTGGACACGTTTCCTTTTAAATACCTCCAAAAAAAAGTCAAGAGTGGTCTTGTCTAGTGATTGGACCCTTCTTTTGGTGCAACACAACACTTCAGTTTCTTGAAACTGCCTGAACCACCTTTTAATCGATTTGTCACTGAAAGATTCTTTTGGGAAAACTTTTTTTTGAGTTTACGTTAAACGAGAACCACCGATTCCAATGCCTCAAACCACAAAACACCTTGAGCTCTTTCTTGCATGGTAGCCATGACTCGATCGGCTGATGCAAGAAATTAACCCTCCCTCTCTTCCACTGCCTCAGTCGCGCATGCGCAAAACGTAAGTATAAAAAATACATAATGTTTATCTACCGTCTGCTGCCAACCCGATCCATTTATGCCTAGTAGTTTTCAAGATATACATGTTTAAAACTCCAGTATCCTTCCACTCTCATCTTGAGCCCACATTTCAACGAATGACACCCTCTATCTCGCACCTTTAAACATGGCGCCACTCATGTTAAGCATTTGTATGGAAAGGATCGAGCCACATGACTTGCTATCCTTTTTCAAAAATTTCCCAATTTACCCCTTCCATTTAGTTTTTGGTCTCTGGTAGGTTATTGGAAAGTAAAATTGGATGGATGGTCATTTAGCCAATGGAGTGCTTTTATGTGGTGGTAAAACATGAATTTATCCGCATTACTGGAAGTTATACTTGGGCTATAAGCCAATTAGCTAGCTAGTTATATGCCTATATAGCCATGTGTATAGCTAAAAATACTATTATAGGCACTGTCAGATCACTAGCTCCTGTGCCCTTTCAAATATGCCAACCTCCTTTGGCCAGGAGAGTCTGTTCTTTGTGTGTGCCTAAACTACCTCCATACTCTGCTTATTCAGTTTTCGTGTACCTTGCACAAACCTCAACGCCTCCAAGCTACCCATGCCAACTGCTCTGCTTTACCATGTGCCTGCATCCCATCTCATAAGTTAGGCCTTTGAGGTAAGTCAAACAAACACTAATTTTAGTCTCCTTTACATCCCTTAATTTTAGTCTTCCCAGCACAATCAGAGGGCTTTATGGAGTTTAAAGAATATAGCTGAAAGTGTAATGCATCCAGTTTTGCAGATCTAATGGCAGACGGTGAGGCAAATAATTAAAATTCGACAAAGGAATATTTATTAGAAATATATATTGGAAAAGGATATCCAATGGGGTTAGACCATCCCAACCCACAAACTTCTTGGGGAAAATGCTTTACTTGAATGGAGCCCATTATTTCTTGACCCTTTCACTGTTTGCCTGAGTACATGTTTGGGCTTGTGTAGTGGAAGCTCAAGTTTGTTCTTGGGCTCCAATCATTCACCATTTCTAGGTTATTTCACTGCAGTTAAGCATGTAACAGCTGTCTTCATATTCATGATATGACTTTTTTTTTACTTAAACCATTTTTTTTTTATTTAGATCAACAGTCTCAATTTACAACCAGGGAGATGGCAGTTATATTTTTTTACATGACACTGAAAGGATTAAGGACTTTTACCAAGGTTATATGGTTCTCTCAAGTGATGTTGGTGTTTGCATATCCACAGTATCCTATATTTAATTGATTGAAATATCAAATGCCACTCATTTGTCTGTTTCCTTACTTATCAATGTCTTGTTACAGGGCTCATAGTCATCCTATATGTTGTCTGTACCTTGCAAAGAAGTCGCTCATCCATGCAAAATGAGACTGCTAGCACTTTAGGATAGCTTAGACAGTAGCTTTTCAAAGCAGCATGGTCACAATGGCTTTTCCAAAGTCTTGAGCAATGATATCCATCTCAGAATCCTGGTTTAGGCTATGAGTCTAGTCATGCTTACTGGTACAATGTTGAGTTGTACATGAATATCCTTTTTGGAATCCATGTTACTTGTGAGGAAGTAGGCTCTGCTAGTCTTTTCCTTACTTGCATGTGAATTAGTGATCTGGTTTTTGGAACTTGTGTAGTGCCTGCCACGAGCGTAACACTTGCAGTAGTTGTAAGTGCCACTGATTTATAATTTTTTAGCCGGGATTTTTCATAAATCCTCATCCACCATCCCTCATGCCTTTATCCATCACTCTTCCACTCTCTTTATCACTCTCATATTTTAGGAACCCCACAAAAGGCTATAGTATAAGTATCCTGCTACAAAAGTGCCTGCAGGTCTCTTCTTGCATGGATGAAGAATCTCTTTGTAGACTGCAGACAAAGAAGTGTGAATGGGTCCAGTTCCCATTGAGTACTTGTAAATAAAGTCAGGATTACTGCAAGGGCCAGTTCTTGGGCTCTACTTATTTATGCTATCTAGAAATGGCAGTTGAAAGCATGAATACTGAAATTCAAGTATTTGCCAATGATTGCATTTTATAGTAACAATCAATACTAGAGATGACCAGAAAGTCCTTCAACAAGTAGGGGAACAGGCAAGTAAGTGGGTGTTGAAACTTGAGGTGAATAAATATGAGATGATGAAGGTAAGCCAAAAAAAGACCTTTGAAATTTAAAGTAAGTGTATATATTGCTCACCTTTTTCTTGACCTAAATATGGCTCTTCTCTCTGTCAAAATTGTGACTATTTTGTTGCTATATACCACTTCACAATGCCAGTCCTCTCTTGTGTAGCATAAATGGGGGGCATCATGACTGAAAACAGGCTCTATCAAAGGGTTCTTACTGCTTAACCCTCCATAAAGATGACAAATAGCTGGAATTTTCTGAGTCCAGAACATTCCACAATACACTGCATATGTGTTGCTTGCAGTTTTCTCAAAATTAAGATGCAGCATCTGCAGGCAGTATCACCATGTAGTGTGTTCAACTCTAATTATTTTTTTGTACAGAATACTTGCAAGTACCTTGATATAAAGTAGTTTTATGTTGGATGCATCTAGTCTCCAGTCTATTCAGTGTCCAGTAGAGTACCTAATTCTGTACATCTTGTGCATTATCTGCATTTTGCATCAAATCTGATTTTCCTAGAAATATTGGTCAATGTGAGTGAACCAATTACAGACTTCTTAAACTGAATTTCAACATCATCCAGTGTAGTACAGTGCTTTAGGGATCACTTGTTCATTTTGAAATCAAAAGATTTGCAAAATTTTTTCAATGGGCCAAGGGAATATACAGTCATCCTATCAAATGTGGCTTTCTATGCATCCTTTGGATCTGGATGAATGGTTTCCAGAAAGTGCTGTCTGGTAATGGATTGGATGAGAGAAAATAAATGTCTACATCCTGGTGCAAGGATTCACATTTTCTGGCACTTTTTAAGCTATAGGTTGGTGATAAAAACACTAAGATACATCTCATAGGAGATTTTGTTATCACCAGGCTATTAGAAATTAAACAAATTTGTTTATTAATTTAGGTAACATATATTCATGGTGTTTCATGCATTTGAACCCTGTAATCCATGAAGGATAGAGCTAAAAACATTTATGACTAAAAAAATGTATGCTTGCTTGGGTAGAAATTCTTTTTTTAAATTTTTAGCTTGAGGGGTTAATCTAGCATGTACATACATGATGATACTTGAAGAAACTTTAATAATGCAATCAATGAAAGTCAGAACTGCTTTATCCTAGTCAATACATATTTGTTAGGTTCTTTTTTTGAAATGATGCATTTCAATATACTTTATCAAGATCTAGGCTTTGACTAGGCCAGAATTTGAAACATGTTCCAACTTTTTAGACCCTACAGGTGGTTTTTGCATGAATATTATAGCATATCATAGGCTCACCTGAGATGGTGCCTCAGAAGATATCATCAAAAATTGGGGAACACAGTAAATGGACAAGATCAGCCAAAAGGAAGTGGTTTTTGGTGCTTTTATATGGGACATGTGCATGCTATGCAGCCAGAACTGCTATGCCTCTTACTGTATCTGCTGTCTCCAAGATGGAGGCTTGGAACAAGAAGGAGGCAGGAACTGTTCTCTCCAGCTTCTTTTGGGGCTATACACTTACACAAGTGCTTGGAGGATATTTGAGTGATCGCATTGGTGGTGATATCATTCTGCTGATTGCTGGCCTTGCATGGTCTCTCATTACATTCCTTCATCCTCAGATTATTTGGATTTTTTCAGATCACTCTTGGTCTGTGAATACCTTATGTCTTTTTCGTGTATTAATGGGTGCCTGCCAGGGAGTCCATTTCCCAGCTCTTGCTAGCATCTCAACTCGTTATCTGAATGAAAAACAAAGAGCGGGTTTCCTCGCTACACTTATGGCAGGCTCTTCAATAGGATGTCTTTTTACTGGTACAATTGGGACATTTATGCTGCGCACTTTTGGATGGCCATCAGTATTTTATGCAGTTGGTGTGTTTAGCCTTGCCTGGCTTTGTATAATGCACCATGTTATGAAGTCATCACATCCCAATAGAGTGGTGGTGGTGTCAGTGAATGAGGAGCTCTTGCCAGTGAAACCTCAGAGTTCCAGACCTAGTGATGCTGAGCCTGTTCCATGGAAGATCTACCTCTTGAGCCCTGCAGTATGGGCATCCATCCTTAGTCACACATGTGCAAACTATTCCTGGTTTCTCTTATTATCATGGCTTCCAACATATTTTTATGAATCTTTCCCCGGAGCTGAGGACTGGCTCTTCAATGTGCTCCCATGGCTGGCTCATATCCCTGCCACTATCTTTGTTGCAAAGTTGTCACGTTGGATGATTGAGAAAGGAGTTGCAGTGGTTACAACAAGGAAGATCATGGAATGCACCTGTCAATTCACACAAGCAATATTGTTTTACTTCATTACACAAGTGAATGATTTTCATATTGCATTATTGATCATGTGCATTGCAGTTGCAAGCAATGCATTTCATGTCAGTGGTTCAGTTGTAAACCCTCAGGATCTTGCTCCTAAACATGCTGGGAGTATATATGGATTGCAAAATATGGCAGGAGCTATTCCTGGATTCCTTGGAGTGTATCTAGCTGGTTTCATCCTTGAAACTACAAAGAGTTGGGACATGGTTTTCCGATTGGCAAGCATCATGAGCATATTTGGTGGAATAATATTTGCTTCCCTGGGAAAGGCATCTCCACTTGCATGATGTGATATAGTTGCATAGTGATATCTCTTTTATTTTCATCTGATTGTCATGATGTTTCTGATGATTTTTATATTTTACAAGAAATTGGTGAAGTATGGTGTATCACCTATTTGATAGAGATAATTATCGCATTTAATTATTTTGTTTTGCTCTTATTGGTGATGAAACACGGTGGGGGAAGCAATGGACAAATATGGAGATAAATAGAGACTTGACAAAATTTGGCATTGGGCATTCCATTTTCAAAGTTGTTTTTAATCTACATGCAATTGCAATACAAGTTTTAATAATATTTTCTCCATTTTCTGGTGCATTTCTTATTTGTTCAAGTTGAGAATAAAAAGGAGGGACCATGGTGACATGGATATGCTTGTGTTTCTGCCACATTGACTGGTGAAACAAAATGTAATACTGGTGCAGATTCTGTTGCTAATGTTAGCAGTGTAATGATAGTTTTTATTATTATTTACATTGTCTAGAATTTTAACAGAGAGATTCCTATAGTTCAAGTGGTCTTGTGCTAGTGGTCTCTATTGGCTCTCTTGCTGCTCTCATCTAACAAGAAGTTTTTAAGTTACTGTATTAGGTTAAGCACTCAAAACATGGTTTCATTTGTTTGAAGATCTGTGAAATTTAAATGTGAAAAAAAAAGAACTTTTGGTCAATATTTTGACCAACATAATAGGGATGCATGAATTCAGGGAATATGAATGAAAAGGAGAAGGCAATCCAGAATATGGAGGTAAGAAGCAAAGTAGTTGTACATTGGAGCAAATGTGAAATACTGTCTTCATTGGTCAAGTAGTTCAGATTTCCTAAACTAATGAAGAGGTAGGGGGTTCAAGTCCTAGTAGCACTGGGCTCCTCTGCTGCAGATGGACAACCCACATGCTTTCATGGGGAGCATCTTATGAGTGTTAGTGTTGCACACATCCCTATCTGTGTGCTATGTGTAGGAGAATGAATGCAAATTTGAGTTTTGATTGGATGCAGTACATCTTTAAAGTCACTTGTGTCAGTCATGGACTTAGGAAAGTCATGAGCTGTTCCTAAAGCCTCTTTCAGGACTATAGAGGACATCCCTTTGAGAGACCATGATTGATTGTGAGTGGTTGTGGTACCTGTAGCAACCAGGCACCCTTCATCTTTGTGCATTGATATGTGTCTGTTGTTTGTCCATCACATGTCCTGCCTTAAAAAAAATAGGCCCAGATGAAGCAGGCAAGATGGAAGCAGTGGGCTATTTCATATGAAGATCAGGTGGAAGGTTGGTCAAGGAAGTCATAAAGTGGTTCCTGCAAGGAGAAAAAGGAACAGAGGACATCCAATAATGAGATGGAGAGGCAAGATTAAAAGAGCTGCTGGAACTGCATGGGCTAGAACAATTGCAGATGAACTAATTGTTATGCATTATATGAGACATTCTTCCAGCTATATACAAGGGTGGATCAAAAGTTTCTGGAAAAGCAGCCATAACTTGACATTTTTAAAACCATTGTCATTGTAATTTACCCCACTTTTTGACATACTCTCCCTCTATCACAATATTTGGTCCAGCAATTTACCAGTCAAACAAAGCCTTCAGAAAAAAAAAGTCAACAGGCTGATGTTTACACCAATCCTGGACAGCTTTCTTCAGATCTTTGGTTGTTTGGAATTTCATTCATTGAATTGCTTCTTTCAGCTTCAGAAAAAGATGGAAGTCACTTGGGTGAAAGCCAGATTTGGAAGAATCTCCCAACCAAGCTGCAGAGTTTAAGCAGTTTTTTTTTTTTAGCTGTATGTGGTTGTGCATTCTTGTGCTGCAGAAGAATGCCTGAAGTCAAGATTCAAGATAGTTAGTGATATCAAGAGGCGATTTCACCCATTTAGATATCACGTGTCAAGGTCAAGCGTTCCTTAATTTTAGGGTAGGCCTAACCCTCTTAAAGCTAAATATTTTTGTATTTTTGTTTTGTTTTTTAGTTTTTTTTTATTTTGTTTTTCGACTATCCTAGTTGCTTACTGTCTAGTACCTAACATCAACATTGCCCCCCACCTTTTTGCCTTTCCATGAAAGCATCCAGTTTTTTCTTAAAGATAGTCACAGAAGGGGCTGCCACTACTTCGTCATCAATATACTTGATTGCTTTTGCCAGATTACTCCTTGAAGTGGTCCCTTTAGGAGATTGCTGTAGTATTCAGCATTCACTGTGATGTCTCCTTGAAGAAAATCAACTAAAATCACTCCTTTCACATCCCAAAAAAGATTGCCCTGGCTTCTTTCCCACCTGATTGTATGACTTTGAACTTAGGAGTTTAGGGGATGAGGAATGATGCCAGATCTTCTCATCCACTCTTAAGTCTTTCTTGCCATTTATATTGGCTTCGTTTGCCTTTACGTGTGCTACTGTGTCGACATTCTTATGTGAAGTTTTACAAGATTTCCATCCTTTTGTCAACATTTTTTTGCAATAACTTATTGCTCAATGATGAGCATGGTTTCTATACAAGATGCTTTCTTTGCATAGTTGCTGTGCATGTGCCAGCTGTGTTGTCAAGTCATGCATGTGAATAGCATTAGTTTATATTGCAAAGAAATGCAGATTAGTTTATATTGCAAGAAATGTGTAAATTTTGTCAATTTATGTCATAGGTAACCTTTCCAGGAACTTTTTGATCCACCCTTGTATAAAAGTAGCAGATGCTGATAATTATAAGTGATGTGATGGGTGAGAGAGAATAGTGGCATGTGGGGTCAGTGTATCACAACAGTTTATGAAAGTACTGTTTCTTTTTACTTGCCCAAGTTTTTTTTTAGAAATTGCATACAATTTAGCATAATTGAAAGCTCTGTTGGGACATGTTTGAGAAATGACTATTTACTGTTAAAGGATGTTCTAGGTAGGCTCTGGTGTAAGATTGCTGCTGATTGTGGAGATTGCCATTGTTTTTTGGTCATAGTCAAGTATGGTGAAGTTCACAAAGCACAAGAAGTTTGAAAGGCAACAGCAAAAATAGAGCTGGCATGTTTGAGAATTTGGAGTTTAGGTACCATTTGATCTTTGAGATTTTACACTGAGGTTCCATTGCCACTCCTGTAATGTTGTGCTCTCAAGGCATGCCTAAATGACATAACTTCTGGTTGTTATAAATATTATACCATATGAATGCCAAACATCCTGAAGGACTGTTAAAAAAAAGCATTCTTGTGCAAGTCAGAGACTGAAATTAAGTCTTGAAAATTAGCAGATTTTCTGAATGGATTGTTGCTCCATGTAAGTTGCTGGGATTTAGTTTTTTGTTGGTAAAACATTAAGTATTTTAGTTTATTTTTAGCATTTTATACATTTGAAGGAATACAAAGAATCATGTATAACAGGCTTGTTAGAATTATTATATTGGGTGGCACAGAAAAACGCATCTTGTTTGACACCTTATGAAATCAAGGGTGGAAATTCTAGGTCTGTAATTTCTTGGATGTGGTCCCTCTTTAGTGCAGCAGCAGTCTCTGTCAATTCTTGCTGCATAAAATAATATTAATCTGGGTCCACTGGGAAAACTTTAGGAAAAATTGGATGTTCGGGGTTTGGCAATGAAGAAAGACTCCCCTCAGCCCACCTGCTGAGGGGAGCAAAACTTTTTGCTTTGAGCACTAAAATGTACCTTCTCTGTGCACAAGGTGGATGGAGTTTCAGCACTGGTTGAATGATTTCTCTCACTTGACACCATAAAGACTGCTTTTTACACCATATACTTGTCATAGTATTCTCCACTTCATAAAACAGTGCTACTATTGAACATCATAGCATCAGAATCTATACTACGCAGAATACTACAATGTGAACTGGCATAAAAAGATGCATTTATGGTGTCAAGGGAGAGAAATCAGTGGAACAGTGCTGAATCTCCATCCACCTCAAACACAGAAAAGGTACATTTTATGGCTCCACTTTGAATGACTGTCAATTTTTTTTGCATCACCCAATATATGTTGCCTAGTTTCCAAAGGTGCTAGGACTTGCATGTATGAACAGTAGGACTAGAAAAGTTACTTGTCACCTTACATACTTCTCTATGCTAACCATTACCTGCTCAAGTGCCTGCTTGTGATAGCATCGTCACAAGGCAAGTGACTGCTTCAGGCAGCAGGTTGAATTCTTCATACAAGCTCAGTCATCTTTAACTGCTTGTTTTTCTATCATCATATTTGTGCTCTGCATTTGAAGCAATTGAAGTCTGCAGTTTGTAGTATTGGTGCTCAAACATTTTTATAGTCCTTCACTAAATAACATACCTATATCTGCTGCAAAATGTCTGTTTCAAGGTTCTCTTGGAGTTTTTCAGTATTATATTTTGAAGATGAAGGATATTGAAAAAGATAATGAAATGTTGAACTATATTTTTTTTTGTTTTCCATGAACCCATGCATATTTCTGCAAGCATATGCTATATCATGCATAATGCCAAGTTCTGATCAATGAAGCTGATCTCAGTTCAAACACAAGTAAATTTCTCCAAAGCATAATTTGAGTTGAAATGCACTTATCAAGGAAGTTCAGTTGTGGGTTCATGCTACATGCTGAATAATGTTATTAAATTAAAACATTAAAAATTAAATAACCTATGCCTGCAGGTTTAAAATTCATATCCTCAGTAATTTGTTATTTCTGCCCATCAATATTCCCATTTGGTATGATTTAATCATTTTTTGTATTTTGAAGATGATGTGGGTTTGAGCAAGAATTGTTTGATGTGAAGTGAGAGACTTGTGATGTGATTTCATGCACTCTTCACATGTGATGGAGTATGTGTCTTCTTCATTGGCGATTATCTTCTCTGTTTGCACAGTCCTTATTCTTGTTGCCTTAGGTGAGATGTTCCCTCTCTAGTGCCATTTAAAATTGAATCAATTGGCTGTCAGACTTTCTTTGCAAGGAGGTAGAAGATAGTCACAAACACCCGGTGGCTCTGTTCAAGCATGTGGTTCAGTCCAACTTTGGCTTACTGCCAGTGGCTGCTTGTCAGGGGAGGCCTGGCCTCCTCAAAATTCTTGGGAGACCCTTCCCAAAAAAACTGAAATAAATCTCTGATAATCATTGGATTCATTCTCAATTGACACAAAATGTGCAAAGTCTGGGTCTCTGACAGTTTACTCCTGCCCAGAATTGCATATTGGAGGCAAGAGCTTGTTGTCCTCTTCTGGCTCATAGATGATGCATAGGGGTATCTCAGAAAGCACTCATAATACAATAGTGTACGAAAGCAGGGGGGCCGGCATCACCGTCTGCATTGCGCATGAGTGGCCTGCCACTCAATGATGGCAATGATGCCTGCTAGCATGAGCTAGCATGTCTTTATGCTCCCTTTGCCTCAAGTAGAGAGCTTATTGGTCATATAAATTTGCATTGCCAATTTATATCTATGCAGTTGCCATGGATGAAAAAGACAATATATGTTATACACAGAGCTGGGAAAAATACAAGTGGTTGAGTATTTAAATAGAAAATACAAATGCCTATGAAAAAAACGTATTGTAAATGCAAAATATAAATACAGCCCAATATTATTTCAAATACAAAATATAATAATTTTCAAGTATACTTTGTGCCTTTCAGATTTTGTCCAAAATCAGGAACCCTTCAGAAGTTATGACCATTTGCTTTCCCAGCACATAGCCTGAGCATGGCATTCTTTCTGTTTTCCTTTCTGAATCCTAGACTGCTCCCCCTTATACCATTCATAATCCTCAATGAGATCTTAATGTAGTCTCTGAAAGCAAAAAAACAGAAATATTAACCTGCATTGGCAAGAATCAGGCTTACCCAAGGCATAAGTCTAAGGATGGTCAATATATCACAAATTAAAAACCTTGCTTGGGCCAAGGACAAGGTTAGTATATTCACACCAAGATATTGCAACACAATCAACCTTCAAATGTATGAAGAAGTTGGATGTTGCTGCTAGAGTTCCACTAATCACTTTCTGTCGATCATGCAGCACATTTGACCTTGACCCTTTACCCCCTCTCAGTCTACAATACCGAAGAACTTCCCATCCAAAAAGAAGGCAAGCCTACTAAGCTAACCATGTTTGAAGCTGCACTGGACCTATTTTTTAATTTTATATTTGTCAAATGTATTTCGAAATAATTTTTTTTTCAGAGAATTGTATTTTCAATATAAGATACAAATATATATTGTGATACGTATTTTAATACAAAGTACAAAATACTTGAAATGTATCGATATACAAATTTAAAATACAATTATATTAAATTCTGCCCACCTCTGGTTATACGTAATTATGATATTAACTAGGTTTGCTAGATGCAATTATGCTTAGAAGTTGTTAGAAGGGAGAAAGTCATCAGACCACTACTTTTATCCTTAGACCAGAAGCACCACTTCGCATTCAAGTGTTCAATGGAAGTTTCAATTTCTGCTCTGCTTATGTATGATTTAGATACAATATAAACTTTAAACATGAAACGGTTCCTCACTCAGCGACTGACTTAAGTGCCTCTCATGTTTCATGTCCCCATTAATACTACGATGAATTATTGTTCATTATGGAGATCATGAGCTGGCCTCTCCAGATTTTTCATCCACAAGCCACCACTGCTCATTGTTAATCCATTGTATTTACCTTAGTTTTGGTGCTGTTGTGCTGTAGTCTTGCTAGAAGAATATTTGACTAGTATTCTAGTGAAAAATCACATGGACTGAATGAAATCATGAAAATGGTGAAGTGGTTTCACACCAGATTCATGATTGTGACTGCTGCAATTATGTAGTCAGTCATGAGAAGGTTTGTTTTCTGATCTGGTCATTTTTTGCTAAAAGCAAGAAACTTAGAGATTTCAAAGTATTTGAGAAAGATGAGTTTCACCAGTTCTTAAATACACTTTTTTATATTTATTTCCAGGGTGGTATATTGTTTGGCGATGCTTTCTGTCAAGATTCAAATTTGTTCGTGAACTCTTGGGTACTGTGAGCGATGGCACTCCTGCTGAAGAGGTGAAGTTGGCCAGAACAAGAGCCAGAAGGATGCACAAAACATCATGAGTGTCTTCATACTCCTCTATTGATGCTTTCATCTTGCTTCAGGATGTGCTTGTGTTGTGATAACTTCAGGACATGCTTGCATTGTGATAAATTTATTCATTTTCTGTGACTTTTTATCACTTTACCATGAACACCATTGAATTTGAAGCTGATGAGAATCATTTTCTGTATTTTATTTCTTGTTTTCTTACCAATGGTTGAGGAAATATGAGAATTATCAAATGATGTAATCATATGTACTGCTTGGAAAGCAACAATGTATGTCCATATGGGTGTTTTTGTCAATTAAATATAAGGTACAACGATTTTGGCCTAGTACATATACCTGTATGTTGCATTCCAACTGCTGCTTTTTAGAAACTATTGGCATATTTTCTCTATAGGGCTATTTGGAAAGAATATAAATCGACATCAATATTTAAACTGGCTATGTTTAGAAATATCTATAAATTTAGAAGACCTGTTTGTGTCTGATTACAAATTGAATCTCAGATGTTTGACCAATGGGTTCCCAAATGATTTTTGATCGATGCAGTGTATTTATTGAAAACTGAGACCCAAGAAGTTATCACAATTGCAAGGCATTGCTCTGGAAAATGAGGATTCACATTCTCTGAGTTTGTAACGATGCCAGATTAACATACTCTAGTCCTCATACTTTAATAAAGAGTACTTATATTGCGCAAAAGCTCCTCCTTTAATGGGAAGGCTTCCAATGACAGGAAGATTTCCAAAGTTTCACCAAGTTTCTGGGGCAACAAGAATGATGCCATTCTCACATGCATTAATCACAGGTCCTGGATTTGAAGGATACCAAAAGGAATGCATAGTGATGACTGTACACGGAAATGCTCTGAGAAGGGGAGGAGAAATTCTAAGGATCACATTTTTATGACTTCCAGTAGTTCGCAGGCTGATGTTTCCAAGTCCTTAACAGAGGTTTTCATTTTATTGACGGCTGGAGCATAGGGGAATTTAGCCTCTGCCTCTGTCGTGTCTCCCACTGACCTTTCCAAATTCCGATAGAGGTCATTGGTGGCTTTTTGAATCAGTTTTTTCAGCATGGGGTGTTGGACATTCCTAGCAAGGACATCCCCAACGCACACAAGGGATATTGCCCGAATCACAACCAACTTCACCTGTTCCACGAATAACTTTGGGGGCTTGTTTGTGTGAATGGCGAAGAGGAAACATTTGATGGTATTAGTGAGTTTTGCAAGGGCGTCTGAGGCTTGGGAAAAACCCCAAATGAGGTACTGCTTATCACTGGTGGCAAGTATGAGGTCGTCTTTGAGGGAAACCTCGGAAAGCCCACTTTTGATTGCCTCTAGGTTCTCATAGTCTCTCTCATTCCCCCCAGGAAACAATTCCGTGGTATTGTCTTCGATGAAAGCAGCTACTAATTTGACGTCGGATGGAAGATGACGGATGCATGCCATGAATCGATCCAAATCGTCTGGTGTGTGAATATCCCCGATTTTTGCCATGTTCTTCACCGTCCATCCTCGCCGATTGATTGATGTCAATGTCTTTTCCACGATCCTTTGAGCATCCATCAAAGGCTTCAAGTGATTCCACAGTTTCTCTGCCAATTGCCGAGTCTCCGCACGCTTTTTCGTCTCCGCATAGATTCCCTTGAGAAACCCAGCCAGATTATTCAGTTTCACCTTCACACTACTGGCGACCTTGAACATGAGTCCCAGTTTCGCTTCTAACATGTACTTTTGCCTCCAGTCGGGGTTGTAGAAACCCAACATTTCGGAGACGGTATGCGTGAGTTCTTGTTGGGCCTTCAGGCACTGTTCCAGCCCCTCTTCAGGCCCTGTAGGACGTACGAGTGCAATGAAATCGTCAGAAGCTGATGCATATGAGGAGTCCGAGGTATCGCCCCCGTCGTCCCAGTTCCCTTCTCTCTGTATCTGGAACGTAGAACTGGGTTTTGGGATGTCATAGGTAGGCTCTTCTGGGCTAGGAGCAAAGACGGCATTAGGCATGGACGAGACGGTGCTGAATCCGCTGTCCGTGGACTCTCCTCTCTTTAGAGACAACCCCAGGGGCAACGCCTTACTGGGTGTAGGAGGCAGTGGGCCAGCTCGACCCTGGTACCTCTTCCATTCTGTCGGTGACATCGAAGGAGACGAAGAAGAAGAGGATGATCTTCCTATCCCACCCTCTACTCGTTTGGGAATGGGACGAGGCGTATCGTAGTTCTGCTCGAAACCTGCCCAGGTTACATAACAAAGGAAACGTAAAAGCAGGAATGACAGAGAAGCTGCGAGAATATAGCTACAGCACAAGGCGGGGGAACTCCAGAAGGCTAAATTGAAATGATCTGAAATTAATTTTTGTTTGTCGTCTAGCAGATATGAATGCATGGAAATTAATAGTCGGAAATATTAAGGCTCAATGCCCAGAAACATGAACTCTTTAGCGAGTATGTTTGAAGCTGTTTTACGAGGTGAATAGACTCACACCTGAAGTACAAGGAATTTGAAAAATAAAGTTTACCCTCGATACTTTTATCTATAGGCAAGAACCCAATTGAGCTGCTGTGATGAGTCATGCATTCCCTGAAAGGTCTTTTTTTTTCAAGATAAAATGACAAGTAGGTATTTCCTTTAAAGTATAGGTACGTACATAGTAGCGTAGTGTGGGTGGAAAAGGGGGAGGGGGCACGTGCCCCCTGGGCACGCTGCTGGGTACTTATATTTAGAAGAAACCCCCCCCCCCCACGAAATTGACCTAATTTCCGAGACATATTGGATGAGTTTGTTTGTCCTCCGGGCAAACAAAATCGTTAATAAAAAATACAAATACAAATAGCAAAATATACAAAGTGCCACGAAGTGAAGAGAAAAATTCACCGAATGCAGGGGTATCCATCTGAATTGGACGTGGAGGGGACTGAGGAACGGCGTAGTCGCTTTCCCAACTCTCTACTCCTCTGCTCTCGAAACTCTGCCGTTATCCATAAATACATATTCATAATTGATGGGATGTCAGTTAATATTATCTTACGAGAGCATGATGGATTTATAGGGCTTTAGTTGCTTGCCAGTTGTTGAGGAGGAGCGGAACGAGGTGGAAGGTGGTTATGCTTTGAAGTGGACATGAGGATCTTGAATCCCTCGGCCAAGGAATAGAATCCCGGCAAAGGGCAAAGGCGATTTTGGGGACAAATGCCTTGTTCTCCAGAACGTGACGCACAAGTCCACCAACCTGGCTTGGAGTCCTCGTTCTTATCTAGCACCAACAAGCATTCCCCTCTGGAGAAGCCCAGTTCCTCTTCCATTTCCTTCTCATTGTCGTGTATCGCCTCAGCCAGGAAGTACTGCATCCCGTGAGGAGAGAGAATCCACAAGCAAATATTAATAATCCATCACTAGCAAATGGTTCACAGTACAATATCAAGTTCTTTGGACGAGTAGCAACAAGTGTGTGAAATACGGATATCACCGAAGAGACAAGGGAAGTAATTGAGATAAATTATGCTGTCCCAGGAATTTTACGCTCAACGGCTGTACAGAAAAATGACGAAGTAGTGAGAAAAAACCTAATTGTTGGAAAGCGTAAATGGTAGCGGAAATCCCCTGACCGGCGAGAAGGAATGCAGAGGACAGAAAGGAAAGGTGGCCATGATGTTGTATGTCGCAATCGGGAAGGAGAAGGGAAAAAAAGACCTGCTTCTACCATACGTTACTCTTCTTCCTTTTCGATGGATCTATGTCAAGGTTATCATAGGAAATAGGATAGGAATCAGTTCAGAACACGCATACTCTCAGCTCCTCCACCATAACAGCACAGCACGATGATAAAAAATTTGGCGGAAAAACTTGCTCACTCAAGAGGCTTTCTTCCTTTCAACCAGAAGTCCCTTTCATGGAAGAGAATCAGAGAAGCGTTTTGAGAACAAGGGCCAACAGCGAATGGAGGCAGGCATGATAGTTAGGGCAAGGGCATGCGCTCCTATCCCAGCTACAGGGCACCTCGCGCCTGGAATCGATATCTTCCTCTTCCCCTATTCCCCATTGAAGACTCTCATGACGGGAGGGAAAATGGGAAGGGAGGGTCATTATATTCGGATGGAGTCCTTCTGTCTCCCCCCCACCATCCCAATCCGTGCTTATGCTCATACCATTCGTCTTTCTGGATTTTTTTATGCATACATTTTCAATGCCAGAAATTCAAACTCGATGAGATCGCGTTTCGAGAAAGTTCAGGAGCAACCTCCAATGGTTTCCGGTCCTGGGTACTAAGGCACAACTAGTGGAATGCCGAGCCTCTCGTGATAAATCTTGACGAATTCATTCCACCTTGTACAAATCTACCGACTGACCTGCCAGTCATCTTCATCGATAGATAGATAAACTCGTTTTTGGAGGAGTCTCTCAGGAGCATGCGGAAGACGTGTCCATACCACCAGACTTGAAATTCCTCGATATGAAGAAATAGTCGCTCGACTTAAAGGCTCTCGCAGATGACGGCATTCCTCATCCTATCTCTGCCTTTGACACCTGTTACCCCATCTCTTTTCAGCAGCTTTCATCCGCGATTTAGTTCATTTGTTCATGACCCATACTCCATGATCACAGGTGGTGATAGGAATATAGGATGATAGGATAGAGGGAACGGGGAACACTTGAAAACCGAAAGTATCGCCTCCTTGGAAATTTCAAACTTGGTAACCTTGGTCACCAAGTCTCTGGTTGCGCCAGAGTTCCAGCAAAATTGTAGAATTCCTGATAATGTGATTCTCGATCTCGTTCCCACATTGCCCATCGCTCGAGAACCATATCCAGAAGCTCTTGAAGTTCACTAGTTCGAGTAGGGCCCCTTGACAGGTAGAATGCATTGTACAGAATTTCCCAAAAGAACCATGACCTATGTAATGGAGACACCGAGTTTCACTTCAGATGCAGTGCATTCGGAGTCGAACGGATCCAGCACACGCAGAAGCTCCTGTATAGGAAGGGTTCATCGGCAAAGAGAAATAGCTTTACCACGACCAAGTCAATAATGACCCTCCTTCAGGCCCAGGCGGCGCCTAAAAATCCTATCCATGTACTCGATGAACTGGAAAGGAGGGGGAAAGCGGCCCCGGCATCTCTCAATGTTTACCCAGAGAGAGTCCTTCGCTCCTTCCGCCCATTCGGATCCCTACAATGACTACATAAAGGCAGAATGACCCAAAGTAGCTAACCGTTAATTTTCTACTCCTAAAGTACTCCAGCTCTCGTGAATTCCGACTCTTACTGCTGGGTGTTTGAACGTTCCAAGTCCCGATGCCTAAAGTCCTTTGTCAAGGTTATTAAACTCGTGGTTCCGCCCTTGGTCTGCCCATTGGGCGTAATGTCTTGAGGCTATGACCAGTGGCAAGTCGAACGATAGGCCTGGATGTAGCACAACGGACTGATGCAACCAGAAACATTGCGTGCAACAGAAAGGGAGACCCCTGAGCACTAATTACTTACGCTATGTATCCCTCGTATGTGGGACGTTAAATAACTCTAATGGTGAGGGGCTAACCCAGGTTAAGTTTTTCATTGGATGGATTCGGACGGATACCAAATGTCACTCAAATCGCTGATAGCTATAAACTGACATTATTAGGGGTACGCATATTCGCGCATTTTATATGCATATTGCTATCTCATCTCAGTTTTCTGCTTATTGTCACGACTCCATGCTTCAGTTTTCTTAGTCTATGTTTTACTGGCAGTGTTGAGAAAGTAGCGCGTTACTGTAATGGGGTCTCTTACGAAAAGTTTCTATAGGATCCTATGAGAAAATTGTATAGGATCCTATAGGATTTTTCCGTAAGGGGTACTTGCAGCAGAAACCACTTGCAGTAACGGATTCATTCTTGCCCGTAGTAATCACCCCCTATAAACAGATTACTTTTTACTCCTGAAAAAGGAATCAGAATACATTCAATTCCATTCATGCGTTAAGCCTTGAATGGTTGTTTATCCCCTTTCCTTTCCTCCCCTTTCCGGTTCGTTTCTACTTCTCCTCCCGCCCATAAGACAAATTTGATTATATTATCACCACTGCAATGAGTCCAACATACGAGTCGTTACATAACTCAATTGAACTCATCTGAATAGTACTCCAAGAGTAATCTTACCAATTACAGATGAGTTTTTAAAGG